GATTATTCAGCCAGGTTGAATCACCTCTTACATGACCAGGATTTGTGTGTCTGTATCTGCACACACACACACACACACATATTGTAACCTATGTCAAATTCAAAGTGATTTACTAAATACTTTGCTAGGTAAAGCTGTTCTCAGACTACAATACAACATATTTCTGACATGTTTCTAAGACAGATTGGTCAGAACACATACAGGATACTAAACTAATTCCAAACTGCTTATTTTCTATGGCCCAGCTTCTGCTCTGTATACATGACAATGAATATCCTGTGTTTATTAGTGTTTTCTGACCAAAAGTGTTCTGAAATTACGACCTAAGAAGAAAATCAGAGGTTCTAATCTTTAAAAAGTAAAACAGTTTCCTAGCTATCAAATTTATAAGGTGTTAATCAAAAAAAGACATGTAAAAAGTGCTTCATACTGAAACAACTTCATCACACTTTCACTCTTCTCTATATTCAAGGATGTCCAAAAACCACCTCCAAATGTCTATGTGTCCCACCATCCAAAAAAGTATCCCAAATGTCCCAAAGTATCCCAAACAATCCTGAAGTATCCCAGACGTCTCTATGCCAATCCCCCCCAAATTAAAAGAAATACCTGGATTCCAGCCTTGGTTCCTCGAAGAGACAAAAATCATCTCCATCATCCCAAATTTTGGCTGAACATTTCCTGTTTCCACCAAGCTGAGGCTTGTTTGAACGGCCACTGCTGCCTCCTCCTCTTCCACCGCCTCCTCTTCCACTGCCTCCTCTCCCTCCTCCTCCTCCTCTCCCTCTTCCTCCTCCTCTGTTGGGCTTTCCTCTTTTCCTCACTGCTGAACTCATGTTCTCTTGCTGAAGAAGGGGAAAAAACAGCTCTTAGTTATGAGGATGATTTAGCACATTGCATATGTCCAAGCACATATTATTTGTTTGTCTGTGCGACAAGAGAAGACACCCTCTCATTAACCCACAGTTAATGATCCATATGTGGGTGTGTCTGTATGCACCTGGAGCAAGGAACACTATTCTAGAACATTGTTCAGTAAGTTCTGTGGCTTTAGAAAACAAAAGTAATATTCCTTACAGCTATTCAGCCAAAGCCTGCAGGTTTGACAAAACTGTCTGGCCTCAGACCCTCTGGATTAGCCTACCAGCAGTGCTGCCTAGCCTGGGGGCTCCAGTTCTGCCACTCTGATGGAGTTTTCATGGACACTGAAGCCCACAGGAAAAACCTTAAGGGGAATTTTCGGGGAAGAAAGCAGCCTCTGAGCTGTCAGTTTTCAACTCAGGAGTTTGCAGGGTTGAGAGTAAAAGGGGGAAGGGGAGCATTAGCTGAAATACAATGTTTTTTTCATGTTAACTCATATCAAACTCCTGACCCATCTCCTCCTGCAGAGAGCTGCTCAGACTGCTGAGCGCTCTGTGAAGCCTGGTCAGGGAGCGATCAGGGACTTATCTCGGAAAACAGAACCCCTCCTCTTCTCAAAGCAGCATCTTCCCAGCGCTCACACAAGCCCATTAGCACCGAGCAGCTGTCAGGGACAGAATGGCCCAACATTATGCTCCAACTGCACATTCCTGCTAATGGAAAGCTATTGCAGGGCAGGTGAGGAGCCGCGGGCAGCCCGTCAGGAGCTTATCACCTGGATCTCTGCACTGGCACCTCCAGAGTCAGGACAAGAACGGCCACGCACAGGTAACAGCCCAAAGCTTGGGCTTAGAGAGCAGCAAACTCCCTTTTTGTGGCCGCTCTCCTCACTGGAGCTCCGCCGGGGCCGGACAGGAGCCCACAGACAAGCCGACCCCGCTGGGAGCAGCCCGCAGTCAGTGAGGGAGGCGAAGAGGGCGAGCAGGGCAGGCGCCCCCGGGGCCGCCGTCACACGGATCTGCCTCCCTCTCCCCGAGACCCATCCCCTGCCCACTCACCCACGCACCCGCCCCCCCTCAGCCTCTCTCGCCGCCGCTCGCGCACCCTTCCTCTCGGCCCCGCTCCCGCGCGCCGCTCTCCTCCGGAGGGCGCCACCGCCCCTTCCCCGCCCCGCTCTCACCTCCCCGCCCGGCACCGGCACCCGCAGGGAGCCCTGACCCGGATCCGCCGCGCTTCCCTTCCGGGCCGCGCCCGCCCCGCTCCTCCCCGTGGGCAGGGCCGAGGGCTCCCCAGGAAAGAACGAGCACTCCAGCGCGACACTGGGACTTTAGGCTGCTGTGCGTTTTGTTGCCTTAAGAGAGCGCGGAGGAAAAAAAAACTCCAGGCCAATTTAGTGTGTAAGATAAAATAAAGAGAGTAGGTCCTTTGATCTCAGGCCTGAGGCCCAGGGAATACACATGACGCGCACCCGCCCAGACAGTGGTTCTGTGACTTTATAATAAGGTCCATCCAGTCCCCGATTTATCCATCCCCGGTTCTGCCCCGTTCTGCCCTCCGGGAATTGGGTCTGTGGGTGTGTGGGACCCCTTCTTCCTCATCTTCATCTTCTTCGCAGCACGCACAGTCCTTGGAGTTCCTCCAAAGTTCTGGGCTTGAAGGTCGCTGTGTCTGTGTGATACCTTCTGATCCAGGCTTTTCTACAATTCTACCTTGAAAAAAAGACTAAACACGCTAACGGAATTTAGAGGGGTTTATATGAAATGGGGTAACAGGGTTGGGTATGTTTAAATATTATGCTACAGGGTAAGGGATGTAATACAGCTACATTAAAATCTACATTTACTACTTCTAAAATCTACAAAATTTAAAAAATCCAAAAAGCTCTGAGGCATCAGTTGGAATATATATATGTGTGTGTGTGTGTACATATATATATATGTATACATATATGTGTGTATGTATATGTACGCTTGAATTTCAGCCAGCAGCTGTAACAGTGACACTGGCTGTAGTGGTTTTTTAAAGTATCTTTCATATTCCCAAATAAAGACAAACATGGCAGTTGAAAATCTTGGCAGGTTCTCATTGCACCGACCCACAAGTCGTATGAGGAGCGGCTGAGGGAGCCGGGGTTGTTCACCCTGGAGAAAAGGAGGCTCAGGGGAGACCTTATCACTCTCTAAGACTCCCTTGAAAGGAGGTTGTAGCCAGGTGGGGGTCGGTCTATTTCCCCAGGTAACAAGTGACAGGACCAGAGGAAATGGCCTGAAGTTGTGACAGGGAAGGCTTAGATTGGGTATTGGAAAATATTTCTTCACGGAAAGGGTGGTCAGGCTTTGGAACAGGCTACTCAGGGAAGTGGTAGAATCACCATCTCTGGAAGTGTTGAAAAACCATGTAGATGTGGCACTTTCAGGACATGGGTTAGTGGTGGGCCTGGCAGTGTTGAGTTAATGGCTGGACTCAGTGATCTTGGTGGTCTTCTCCAACCTTAACTCCAAAACTGAGTATGTGGGATCAAAAGGGAGGAAGGCTATACCAGCTTCAGAGTGAGGGTGATGTAAGTGACAAGAGACTCCAAAGCTGTGTTGCTGAGGGGGGGAGGCCCCTCTGCAGATCCCCTACACACACAGGGTAACCCAGGATAGCTGCTCTGCAGCACATCCCATCGGGTCTTGAGTCTCAATGCCTCCATGGAAGGAGAATCCACAACTCCTCCAGGCAACCTGTACCAAGTTGGAGTTTAAAGCAAAAAATCCTACCAGAAAAAAAAAAATTCTGCACTGGTTTGGCTGTATGAGAACCACCACACCCCACAACCCAGACACACAGCAGCTGCCCTGAGGTTGTTTCCTCAGGGTCCTCCTGCAGATGGCCACAGCCACTGCCCTGATGGTCCGCTGGGATCTGCTCTGTCCCAGGCCAGCTCCCCACCACCTCCACAACGGGGCTCAGTGGCGGAAAAATGGTTCATAAAACTGCTGCTGGTTCACACTCTGTGCCACCCAAAGGTGCCTGTTCCATGGGGCCATCTCTGGGAACAGCCTGTCCACAGGAGATGGAGAGTCAGGTCTGAGAAACAGCTCTGTGCAACAGAAGAAATGCATTGCATGATCTCCTGGGTTTTTGCCTCTCAGATGCTCTCTGTCTTGAAGTGAAAATACTTGTCTTCCATCACTCTTGTTTTCTAGAGGGGAACTGCAAAAGGACACCTGAGTGTGTGCTCGATGCCTCACAACGGGGCCAATGCAACTATGTGTGTCAGCAGCTGGAAAAACGACAAAGTAGTTTTAAGTATTCCTTCATTTTAAACTTCCTCTGTGTTTGGAATATCAGTATATCCACCCTTAAAAAGGCACAAAAAGGAAAGTCATAACCCAAAAAGGATCAGATGAATGCTGCAGGCTCTTTTTCCACCTGGGCATCTTGTCACAGCCCAGTCTGAAGACTTGACACATCTGGAGTCTTCAGGTGTCCTCCAGCCTCCCGAGGCTCCTGCAAACACACCAGTCATTGCTGGGAGACAGGTCCCAATGAAACATCTCGTCAGTGTGGTGTTGGTGGTGCCCAACACATACACCCACTGTGAAAGCCCTGCCTGAATGGGCTGTGCACGCAGCGTGGGCTCTCCTGCGTGTGTATATACACCACACACACATCCCACAAGGAAATGGGAGCTCTAGTCATCAACAGCTACACTGTCGTGTGGCTGCCCTTGGTTACTCAGTTCCCCAGGAATTACTGAGGAAGAATAGGAAAATTGCTTATTTTGTTGACACTGTAGAGGAAACAGTCCTTGAAATGATACAAATAGTGGTCTGTGACTTTACTGGATCTAGTCTGGCCTTTTTTTTGGTCTCTTATGAAAATATTGGTGCAACGGTGAGAATTAAGATTATGGCATAGAAGTGCTTCACAGCACAGATTCAAATCCCCAGGCGTGGCTTAGTGACCTAGGCTGACAAATGAAAGGTTTGCTCTGCCTTGATTCACAGAAAGAAATTCTGAAAAATTTAATTAACCCCTCAGGCTGTCAGGGTAAAGGAGTTATATGCAGTTCCATGCTGCATAGATTGTTAAAATCCCATGAGACTACCAGCAGAGGAGGGGTTTATTGGACACTATGGCCAACCCCAAACTTCTAAGCTCTTACCTAAATTCCTTGTAAAAGCAGAAACAGGTATATCTGTCATAGTCACTTTCCCCTGCTTTATCATATCTGAGTGTGATAGCAGACTCCAAGGCAGCAGTGGGAAAGGAAATTGTAATGAAAGGAAATAAAAAATGTAAGCATAAATATTAACCATTTTCTTCATCTCTCAAATGCAGATTAATGGTGCTGGAAGGCTAGAACATCCTTCTGGAGCAGCTTACAAAGGGGAATTCAGACGTTTCACAGGGCTGGAACCTGCAAATTTCCAAATGGAGCAAAGTACCTTGGACTGTTCAATGAAAACAAGTATGTTTGAAATGGAAGAGTTGTGTAAACTTTTCTATTAGTTTTGATTTTATAAGTTGTAATGTCCAAATAAAATTCACCCCACGTAGGAGTAGGTTTCTTTTGCTACCAGTGAAACTTGCACTGGGTACCTGAGATTGCTTATCCCAGTTGTGTCCATTTCATGAGATCAGTCCAAAGTACGTATTTCATTTCCAGTCACGAGTTTTCAAGTTGGCTATTTCACCCACCCACTTTTTATTACCAGGTCTCTGGGCTCAGGTAGAGTTCAAAGAAATAGAACAGTTCAGACCTCTTTGAGAGCTGTTGTTTCAAGCTGTTTGCATTGTCTGCCTGTCAAATTTGCTAGATTTAAGTTTAATTTTTCTTTAAGTACTTCCCCCAGTCCAGTATCTGAAATAAATCTAAAATGTGTATTTGTTAATATTTGGCCTTTCCTCAAAAAAAACCCCAACAAAGCTCCGTCTTACCCTCCTGACCAAAAATAATAGTCACAATAGTACTAGCATGATGACCAATTCTATTTTTAAGGTGTCAAACTCTAAATGAGATATGTGTTATAGAATGTACCTGGATACAAAATAGAAACTTGTATGGCAAACTCTAATGTTTGGGGGAAAAATTTATTTCAATACTTTAGAACATATTGAGTTAATTTATACCTCTATTAAAATGGCATGTTAAAATCTGCTACAGAGTGTCTGTCTTTTCCTTATGTATTAGATGACAGATATGGATTCTGTGTGAAGTTAAATCTGTGAGTACTCATCACTTCAGCAGTAGATCACACATGGAGCTTCACAGGCATTTTCTCTCAAAAATCTTAGGGTGATACCAGTACTCTCCTGTGAGAGGCCAGCACAGTGCTTGTCACTAGTAGTTGATCTGTAGAGAAAACCATCTGGTTCTGATTTGAACTTCTGATGTCAAGTAACTAAAATGCTGACGTAGGCACGCCCTTGGTAACAGAGATCCAATCTTTGCCAGCCCCTTCTGTTTTCACCAGGGAATGCAAACTTCTCCTTTTGACACAGGTTTGTGACTGTTAATACGTGCCACAAAAACGAGTCCCTGACAGCCCAAACTATTGCAAACTATTTTGCCAAGTTTCAGGATTGCTACTTTGCACTTACACAAGATAGGTGCCAATTCACCAGTTCACTGTGGCTTTCATGAGAGAACCACAGCAACTTGTTGCAACTGCCAGGTGCCTTCATTTTTTAAGGCAAACAAGACTCCAGTAACTGATTTTAAAAGTTATTTTCCCCTCATTTGCAAGGGATGATGATGCATAGACAATTCTGCTTTATACCAGTTTTCCAGGTATAATGATGAGCTTGATCACAGCTTCCAAAGATCAGCAGAAATATGTGGTTTGTGAGGACTGACATCACATGGCAGTTACCTTTTTCCCCACAGGAGGCTGTAAATCCTTGCACCTTACCAAAACAGTGCATAGCAGGATGGGAAAAGCATGAAAGGATGGATTTTTACAGGAAGATCATACAGTAACTGGCTGCATACATCAGCCATACATCAAAGCCAGGATAAATTTAATAGGACTTAAGCCCTGTTAACTTCAAATCATGACTGTTTTTTCCTGCAGAGGATGCATGCTGAGAAGACGTTAGTATACATCCAGTTTTGCAAAGAAGGGAATATGTTCCTTGGATGAATAACTTGCATGCTTTGTAGGTCAAAACTTTTACAGGCTACAATGTTGGAGAAAGTTAAGGCAGGTACTTACACTACACTGGGAAGCTTCTGATTCCTGGCCACATCAGCTGCCAGAGCAAGGGACTGCATTCTCAACAGGCTGGATTTCTGTCAATACAGTAAGGAAGGTGAAGGAGAATTTTAAGATGAAAATGGAGTGGAGTGGCACACTTCATGGCTCTGCAGCAGTGGGACTGAAGCAGAAGTTGAAAATGCAGCTGTTTGGTACAGGCAGCAGCATGGGTTAAAGGCAACTCTCTGGGCTCAACAGCTGTAACCAGTTTTCAACAGGCATTGATTTCTTCATGTCTTAATTAAAAATGACCTCTGAGCATGCACGCTAATAGCAGATAAAATTATTTTCTTTTCAGACTGATCAACTGAAGTCTCTTTAAGTCTTTAAAGAAATGAAGTTGGGTAGGGTGAATTCATAACTGCAGCAGTTGGTGACTGGAATTTCCTATTGGAAAGTCTTAAGCAATCTAAGTAGAAAAATCTATTTGCATTTTTGTTTGCATTTGGTCATCAATGTCTCTACGCTATGAATCTAAGTACTTTGCTTTATAAAAGAGAAAAGCTACTTTCTAGTTAAAAAAAACCAAACAAAACACAACATACCAGTGCTGTCAGGAAAAAATGTGTCAAGTCTTTGCTTGCCAGATATTTAATGGAGTTTTAGTAAATACCACTCCTTGCCTCCATTTGAAGACACAATGTACAAGTGCTGTTCCTTCAGATGTGCCTTTAAATACACAGCTAATTTTGATAGGATTCAGAAACATCTTGGGCCCTGTGGTTTATTAGCAAAATGAAAAACCAGCACATTATCAGCAAATAGACATACTGGGCCATCTGAAACAAAGCAGCTCATGGATCACTTGGCAATATAATGTCTTACAGCCCCTCTTCTTAAACTGCCTGTAAGAAAATCCATATTTGAAATGTTTTGTTCATAGATTCATCTTATTTATTAAAAACCAAACCCTTCCTAGCTTGAACTGTTTGTTGAATTCATGGGTATCTTTGACTCAACAAAAATGCACTTTCTGGCAAACTCCTTCAGAATTATAATTTTATTTTGTTCAATTTTGTTGTGTTTTGCTTCTGAAATAGCCAGCTCCAAAAAAAGAAATACTGTGTCCTCTGTCCCTAGTCCTTGACTTCAGAGGTAGCAGCATCTTCCACAGAGCTTCTGTTAATTTAGGAGCTTGTCCTTTCAGCTCATTTGCTAAGGCTCCACATTTATCTGTGCTGCACAGCAATTATACTGATTTAGTCTGTGCAGTTTTACATTTCAGGTTTTCTGCCTGAAGGGTATATTTGAAGTAGATCTTTGTCTTTCAGGGAGAAATTACTTTGCCCTTTGTTACTGTGCCTCCTCCTTTATGTCTCCATGTTCTTACCCTTCAGAGCAGCTCACTGGACTGGCTCAAACTTTTCCTTGACACATTTCCCTGACACCTGGCCTTGGATTACTTGCATTCTCCACATGCTTTCTTGATGCTCTTTGGAGCAAAAAGCCCTCCAGTAAAGGGCTGATCCTCCTAAGTGAAGAAATGGAGCAGGTGTGGAGGGCTGTTGCTCCCCACCCTCCAAGACCTAATTTGTTTTTACTCAAAGAAAATTTGTCATGACCTAACAAGAAACAGAAAATACTAAGTGCTGGTGATTCCTGCTCCCCTGCCCTGGCTATTTTGGCAGTCTTGCTCTTGGCCCCTGAGCCCTCTTGGCCCTGGCATCCCTAGCGAGGCCATGCCTGGTAAGAGACGGTGTCAAAGAAAGTAGGGAGGAGCTAGTCCCATTTCCCTGTCCCCGTACACGGGAAGTTGTCTTGTTTGGGTGCTACAGGAGGTACTTAAGATCCTCTGAGCTTGGCAAAGTAGCACAGACCACATCAGCACCTGGCTCTCTCGTCACTTCACAGGGCTTCTCACCCTCCCTCTGCAGCAGTGGGCAATTCTAATTAAAAAGGAAGAAAATCTGTATCATCTTCTTCCAAGTGCACAGTCCTGATTTTTACATGGGCATGCGAGGATGTGACCTGAAGATTATATAATTAGAAGGCATTTGTTATGCTAGCGTTTCAAATCAGTGATTAGCATGTGACAGTCCCATCCTGGGAGCCACCATTGCTCTGCTCTCTCTCCTGTCTTGCACAGTGCTAATTCCCAACTCTAGCAACCGCCGGTGCTGAAGGATCTTCAGCTAGCCTGGGGTAAGTTTAAAATGTGCTCGGAATGGGATGAAGAGTGGGATTAATTATACCATTTTTCATATTACTGGAAAAAGCAAGAGTTGTAACAATTTGATATCGTGTGTGCAGCACATAAAGGACTTAAAGTATTTAAAGTACTTTGCATCTTCAATGCCTACAGTTATTTTCAGCTGATTTCTTCTAAAACTCTGTGTGGAGATGGAGCTCCTTAGTGTGCAGGACAATTTTGTGAGGCTGCATTTATAGTGAGGTCTCTAAAATGTCAGTTAAAAAGACCTTTTTTTTTGCTCTCACCATCTAAGAGCTAAATTGAAGTATTGTGCTGAATTGAAGTATTTGAATGACAACCACATTAGAGTTAGGTGGAGACAAAATGCAAGAGTGATGAGAGGAAATAATGGATTTTTTTTGTTCTCTTTAGAGGAGGGGGGGTTGCTTTCCAAGTGGGATATTTAAAACAGCAGCAATTTCAGCCAGCAGGACTGAGACAGTCACCAGGAAGATCCCAAACATTTATTTAGGGAAACAGTGGATGCTTAACAACTGAAGTAGCAAAAGTGCATATGGATTTCCCTGCACTGTTGCCCATGTCACAATTTCATAAGAAGCAGAATGGCTCAGAAAGCCAAATAGTAGCTGTTGTCCACCAAGGCTAGGCTGTAAATGCTTTACTGAACTTTGCCTGCTTGCATGCTGATGCTTGGTGTTGTCTGTCCGTCTTTTTAATACATGATCCTCCGCACAGCTGATTGTTTCCATGTGGGGGGAGCACTGGAAGGGTGAGCATGGTCACATAAATGCAGTGCAGGCTGCAGGACCTGCCTTCCCTCTCTCCACCACACACAGCTTTGTGCAAAAAAACCCACCCCTGTGTTGCCTCAGCAGCACATCGCTCCAGCCTTGTTGCTCCAGCCTTCGGCCCTGTGCCTGGGGGATAGCTAAAGAAGGCAACTCACTGGGACCTCCCCATCCCTCCTTCTCCCTTGGGGATCTCATGGGAAGTGGGTGCTGGCTCAGGCTCTGTTAGTGCTCACTGGTTGCCTGCTCTGCTTGGCGGGAGGGGCTGCAGCACCAGCTGCCTGTACAAGGCACCAGGGCAGGGTTCTTTGGTGGTCACCAGTGGCCAGCATGGCAATCACCAACAGCAGAGGTGGCACTCAGCTTTGGTTCTTAGGCTCAGCAGATTTGGCTGCTGGAGGGAAGATAAAAACAAAAGGGGAAAATACATCCTTTTGCCATGATGGAGGAATGTGGTGGCTTTAACATCTCGAAATTATTCTCTGGGCTTTGCTCCAAAGATGTTATTCTGGCTTGATAGAAGCTGCAAGAATGTAAATGAGTTTTAATGCTCAACTCTGAAGAAATAACCACGTCTTTGCCATTTCTTGTCCCTAAAGCAGGGGACCATGGGCTTGAATTGCAGGCCAAGACAGTCTGCTGATGGCTTCATGTGACTGGGTGTTGAGCCTGTCCAGTGGGGAGCTTGCAGAGGAACAATAACATCTTGTTGATGAGGGAACTACCCTTGTGGTGGGCTGGCATATCAGGCAAACTTTGGATTTGCCATGAGTGGAGGTCTGATAGTGGTTTAGGAAAGCAGCTTCATGGAGGGCTTGTACTTGCTGCTGATGTGCACATGCATTCATGTATGTGCATATAGGAAGGGATTAATGGTGTGGGACTTGCTTAGTACTGAGACAAAAAGATGGAGGGGGAAATCCTGTCCAGCTTTTAACTGCCTCAAGGGGGCTGTAAAGCAGATGTAGTCCAGAATCCTCCCAGAGGTGCACAGTGAAAGGCAATGGGCACAAGCTACAGCTAAGGGAAACCCCAACTGGATGTAAAGAAAAGTATTCTTCCTCAGGGTACTGGAAGGCCTAGAGCGACTGTGAAGACTCCAGCTGAAGAAATATCCAGCTGGACAGAGTCCTGAGGAACCTGATCTAGTTTGACACTAGTCTTGATTCGAGCAGGAAGTTGAACTAGAGCCATGCAAGGCTCACCTGGACTCTGCTGTGAGCTTAGGACTTATCCAGTGCCAGCAGAGGCAGGATTTGACCAAGCAGCCCACATCCAGGGTCTTAGGGCCAAATGTCAACCCTATTTTTCAACCCCTTTTTGCACCCTTTAGGCACAAGCCAGACACTGTTCAGGCAGCTCAGGCTGACCAAAACCCTGGTCAGTGGTGAGGACAGTGTTAACAGCTTCCCCACCCAGCAGTCAGAGGGAACAGAGGACAAGCATTCACTTCAAAGCGTGGAGAGGTTCATGTCCTGTCTGTTAGTGATGAGGAAGGACTGATTAGTTTTGCTCTTTATATTAAGCAGTTCAGAAGAACCAGGCAGAAAGAGGCAATATATACATATTCACAGAGTCCTGCAGTGAGCCCTAAATGCTGGAAAATAGACAATGTAATGCCATTATTTAATGTAACAAAGAACTAAGGGGTGATTCTGGAAATTGCAGGCTGCAAGTAGAGGACACACAAAGACAGTTACTCTGGTAAAACAGGTAAGATTTTCTGGACCCACTTAACCAAGGTCAACCTACTTTGCAGTGCAGTCATATAGCAGAGCTCCTGGTATGCCTGGAGCAGGAGAGGATGGTGGCATCCCCGGTGTCCCAGTTTCAAAGCCTCACTCCTGAGCTCCACAGAGGACACAGACTGTGCTTAAACATTGTCCTTGTCTGTACAAGTGTAATGGGGAAGCTCCTGAGTTAAACCTTCATGCTGTACAGGTATTGTTTTGAGTTCCCCCTATAAAGAAAAACTTACTTCTGATACCAGGAACCCACAGAATTTTAACAACCTGAGAGACAAGATCAATGCCAAAGGGCTACACCAACCCTGTGTGGCCCTGAGTTGAAAGTGTATGAGAACAGAACATAAGTAATTAGGCAATGACACATACTCATATGAAGATTCTTCTACAAGTATTACTTCTCTCTTATTTAAATCTCATGTAGGTTTTTTCATATCAGACAAACCTCTTCCTTTGTACTGGACCCAAGACATTTCATGTCATTATCTGTAGCATAGCAGAGGGGTGAATGCCCTCCCATGAGCTTCTCCTCTCAGGGGCATCACCTCCCATGACAACTGCAGGTGTCCATGTGTTAGGGAGCGTGCCACAGATGCATCCTTCACTCTCAGTCACCACCTGTGAGACTGATGCCATAGGCCTGGTGATGTGCTGGGCCACAGTGGGACAGAGACACATGTATCTTAAGGGAGCTGGTCTAAGAGTGGAAGTAGAGAGCACTTGGTGCAACGGAATTATGCTTTAATTCTGGCTTTTGGATGCCTTTAATTCTGGATGCCTGCCATTGCAACCTGTTCATACATTGTTTGCTCATGCATTACAGTCCCTTGACTCCCCCATTTAAGGCTGTGCAACAGTACAGATGAGATGCTCTCATTTTTGCATGCCCCCAGTGTTCTCGGGTCTGGCAGGGTATGGTCATCCTGACTTGTGAAGGCCAGAGGTATAAATGTCACATTGTCACTGGAAACTTAGTGATCCCCATAATAATTCAGCAAGTGGGTAATAAAATTATAAAATCTTTAAGACAGGCTGTGCACTTAGTGTATTTCATGGTCTATTAATACAACTAATTTCATACTAATTATACTAATTGATGTTTGCTTATTATTATTGTTATTATTAATTATGAATAGTTAACAATTATATACTGTTATATTGCTATAACTGGCATGGTAAAATATTAATAGCAGAAGGGGTAAAAATGTGTTGAAGAGAAAAAAATTAATGAATTTCCAGCAAAAAGCTGTTTTCATTGTTTTCAGTGAAAACGGAGGAAGTTCACGTTTCTTTCATATCTGTTTTGTCTTTCCTTTTGTTCCTTTTCTCCCGACATTGCAAAAACAATTCTGAATTTTGAAACCAGTTCTCTGTTAAACACACTAGTCCCAGTTCAACAGCCTAACGACAAGAGCCTCAGCCTCATGGCACTGACTAGTTTAAATTGGGGGCAAAGTTTTAACAACTTTGCTACACAACAAGCTGCTACTGAAGTTGAATTTAAAGGTCTGTTTCACTGAGAGACACAAACTTAACAAAACTACAAGAGAGGAGGTTTAACTACTTCAAAAACAACTCCATTTTTATGTGTTTTGGAAGCAAATGACATTCTTGCCATTCTCTGCAATACCTATCAGAAAAAGAAATAAGTTTTTCTTTTTCTGCTGAAGAGGGCTGGAGCACAGGAGCACAGAGAGGCTGAGTGAATTGTGTTTGTCCAGCTTGGGGAAGGGAAGGCTGAAGGAGTTCTACAGCCACCTGCAACTACTTAACAGGGACCACCAGTCCAGTCAGTCAGGCTCTTCTCACTGACACAATGAAAGAAAGGATAAATGGCCAGGGGCACAAGCTCCAACAAGGGAAAGCTTGACTGGCCGTAAGGAAAAAAGTCTTCCTCATGGGAGCAGTGCAGCCCTGGGAAAGGCCCAGAAAGGCTGAGAATCCTCTAGCCTGGGACATACCCAGATCTTGACTAGATGTGGCCCTGAGCAACCTGGTCTAGCTTTGGGGTTAGCCCTCATCAATGGTCCCTCCATCTTTGCTCAGTTTTTCCACCTGCCTCACCAAAAGATCCTCTGTCCTGATATGTCAGTGGATCTTCTTAGCAAGTGATCTCATAAGCAGCTCTCTTACAAATAAATTTATCCTTTCATTAACCCTCAATCTTAAGAAGATGCTCAACCCCAATTCCCTCCAGCACTGGGCTAGAAGCCTTTCAGTCCACATCATACCCTCAGGAAGAGGTTGGATGGGCACTGTCACCATGTTCCTCCGCTGGGAATTCCACACTCAAAAGCTCTCAGGTTGAAAGTGTGGGACCCCCAAGCTACACTGCTGACTGCTCCAGAAGCAACTGCTTCTGCCCTGATTTCCTATAGCCACCTGGGGTTCTTGCATATTTTGCACATCTCCCATTTAATGCTATGTGCCTTTCTCTGTGCCTACTTCCCTGAAAACATCATCCCAGACTTCTCTGAATCACCACAGTCCTCTTGGCAGAGCTGAGTCAGCAGAGCTCTGTGCCATAATTACACCGGCCACTCCAGTCCCATTAGCAAAGCTAATGATGACTCACATCAGCCTCCAGCATATCCATGTCCAACAGGAATGGAGGTAGGAGGTTATTCTAGAGTCCTAAATCTAGTTTAGTAGTAAGGTTGGACAGAAGTAGACTTGAATTAAATCCTGGGGAGGGGAAGTGTGGATGTGGGGCAGGGTCCATGACGATAAGAGCTGGTGCAATCCATTTTTCTGTGTCTCTGTCCATGTCATTAAGCAGGCATTATCTTAAGACTGTTCTACATGTCCTAACCCCAATACCAGACTGATGAGACGCTTTGCCAAGAGAGTGGCTTGGGCATGGCATCATGCTCTGTTGTCCCTGGTTCCTGGAGAGGCTACATCTCTACACTTTGGGGTGCCTTACAGCACTCCTATGTCTCCAAGTCAGAGAGACAACAAACAGAGAAAGCAGGCAAGGCAGTATAAGTGCCTCCTAAAGTGCTGGCAGAATTGTGTAGAAGCATTCTGAAGGCAATATTCTCTGTGACCCAAACACAGGCCTGAAAGACATTTTGGGTGATTAGTTGCATTGGAAAAGGTTGATTCTTTGATGCAGAGCACTCATGCAAGTTGTTCATGTGCTGTTCAAACTACATCATATTTTGATTCAGTGTTCATACAAGAAGTATCTTGCTGAGCAAATGGTCTCTGTGGGATTACATAGTACCTCTTAGTCACCTGTGCATGTAAGCACAAGTGGCCCTGGGCTGGGAGGGAAGTGTCTGTACCAGCACCCACTATGTCTGTGGAGGCACTGTGAACCCAAACAGACCTTTAGGATGCTCCATTCCCTCTCAAATTCCTCCTCCTTCCTCTGTTTTCTGAACTTTGAGCATCTTTGCTCAATAAACCCTTTTTGCATCTTTCTGCACTCAGGGTTCAGATCAGCTGACCCACCGCAGGGCTCATATGTGGGCAGCTCTAAGCCATGGGATGTTCCCAGTGACCAGCCAGAGCCCTCCAGAGTGAGGACAGGAGTCCCTGCGAGGACGCACACCCTATAGCAGCCATGGACACAAACAAACACGAAGGTAAAGCACCCTCTTATTTCACTTATTGATAGTATGAAAGACAGTGAGGAAGAAATGTGCTCTCATATGACCTGTCTGCTGGCCCCCATCCAGCCCCCTGAAAGCACCTCTTAACCATGGCAGCTGTGTGCAAATGTTCAGTACTTTTAGTTTCATAGAAATACCTGGGGGGTTAAGTTTTTATCTCTTATTTTAGAACCACCTCCCTACCCCCTCTGGAAAATAATCCTGTGGCATATGTAACGTCCAATGTGGGAAGTCATTCCTTTTCTTGCCTCGGATCCCAACTCTGCCTTAGGATGTACAAAGCTGTGTCATACATGAGGGCATTGTGATGAGGATCTGCTTCTCTTCCCCAATGCTTTGTAGCAAGGTGTTCTTGTTTGTGTTAGTGCCATAACCCAGACATCTGCACCAGTCCCGGTCTGCAAGCACCAAGATGTGTCCAGGCCACATTGCTTTCATGCAACCAGTCCTTGCTACAGTCAGCAGCACTTCTAGAAAGTCTGCAAAGCTCAGGGGTTTCAAATCCAGGGTTTTAGTGGTTATCAGCTTCTTTCAGAAGAATGTGAGGCTGGTGGTATTTGCTTTCCACCCCAAACCCTTTGCACTGTGCTCTGCTTTGCCACCTCAGAGGTACTGTGCCCATATGCTGAGGAACCCTTGAAACTATGAGCAGTGGGAGCAGCTTTAGGAGTGCCCACAAGTGTCAGCTCAGGAGAGAGACTAGACCATCTCTTTCCCTCTTCAAAGATGCTTGGTGGTGCCAATATTCATGGCATGGGTAATGGAAAAGTTAATTTCTCTATTATTATTGTTCTAATTGGATTAAATTAGGTCTGTGTACCTAGGCCCCTACACTACAGCAGGCTGAAAAGGAAATTAACTCAGGGATTTTTTCCAATTAATTGGTATGCCCTCACGGGCAGCAGATGTTTACTGCAGAAACTGGGAGATAACCCCAAAGCCCCTTGCTTCCCACAGTGCAACTGTGAGGAGCCTCCTCTGCTCCAGCTCTTAGCTGCGACTTTATAGAAATGATCTGGGGTTTTGACTGGGTGCGTGCAGAGAGTGCTCATGGTAAAGGTGGGAGGTAAAGTCACAGCAGGAGTGACCTTTTCCCCATTTCTGGTCTTGCTCAGGAGCAGTTCCGTGCTTTGAGTATATCCAAGAACATTACAGACTCATCCCTAACCAAACCCAAATGAAAGATCCCTATAGACTTCGGCAGGAGTCTGGCCCTCTGTGTTATATATCAGATTGAAAGATGCCCAAAGAAAACGTGAGGAGAGACCAAGGCTCTTCCTTGCTGTGTTATGCTTCTACCTGCCACCTCTAGCCCTTCACAAAGCTCAGCATTCAGTACACCCACCATTTTGTAAAAGCAGCATCTCCCTGTCCTCCCAGCATCTGGTTTGTATTGTACTATTGATTCAGAGACATGTCCTCTTGCTCTTTTTGGGTCAGTCCTTAGCATTCCACAGTAAGAGTCCAGCAGTAACATATACATCAGAACAGGCATGGGCCTCAGTTTTCGTGATTGAGGAGGATCACTGTACACACCGCTGCCTTCTCAAGCCTCAGCTCCAGGCATCATGAGAAAGCTTCAGGCCAAAAGTCGGTTTCTAGTTCACAGGGTTGCAGAGAAAATCTGTAAAAAAAGACCCAGAAGGGCCAAAGCTGAAAATGAAAACAACCTGTCATTTAAAACTTGAAATGTGGGACTTGGTGCAGGCTGGCTGATGAGTTCTGACCCCAAACAGTTGGCAGTGTGGAGTCATAGTTACTTCTGCCAGTCAGCCCCCTGCCCCTTGTTTCCCCAAGAGGAAACATGGGAGGATATTCCCCAGAGGGTCAGTGTCTGACCCAGCTACCCAACCCCACAGCCAAGAGAGCCCCTTGCACAGGCAGGAAGTGGCACATGGACAGAGAGGAGCACACGGCCTCTCTTCCTCTCCCTTCTGCAAGTCACTGGGGAATTTGCTCAAGTTCCTCTGAATCAGGACAAATTCTAGAGACCAGAACAGGGCCAATTCATAGGTGCCCTTGGTGGTAACCCATATTCCACTTCAGGGGTAAAGAAATCAGAATGTAGCTATGCCTTGTATAGCTCTGACTTCCAGGCTCCAGCTTTCCTCTGGCTGACTGTGTAGAGTCCTCCCTGCACACTTTTCCAGCCTCTGCAGGACTGAATTTCTGTGGTCTTAAAGGCCCAGGTGGGTAAGACACCAAGCACCTGCAGCCAGCATGGAAAGAGGGAGCTTGGCTTCTCCTAGAATGGGCATGGGGTTAATGGTCATGTCTGTGACTGACAGCTGAGACAGGTGAAGCAAATCCTTGGAAGCAAGAGAAAACCCACCTCATGAAGTGGCATTGCCAAGGAGAGGCGATCTAGACCAGGAACTAAGTAGCATGGTATTTTCTGGAAGTGAGGGCCAGCCCGGGACCCTGATGTAGGGAATAACATGGGAACTGATGGCTGTTGGACTGCAATTCCCTCAAAGGGCAATGGCAGCACAACCAGCAGTAATTTCTGTTGGACAACCAAAGGTTTCTGCACAGAAGAGACAATATTAGAAGAGGAAACAATAAACAGACATTTTGGGTTCAATCAAGATAGTTGGACTGGATGACCTTTAAAAGGACCCTTTCAACTCAAATGATTCTATGATTCTATGTTTAATGCCTAATGTCTCTGCAGTCTCCAAAATACTTCAGCAAAACAGATATAATCTCCTCCATGAGCTAAGTCTGTTTCAGAAATGTTAAGTCTATGTCCATTGTACAAGATCAGGTGAGATCACAATGCCACAAAACCCCAGGAATGATGAAACTGATGAAAAGGTGTATTTTTTTGGTGTTAGAAGAGACATGATTACTGCTTGGAATGCATTGTGACAAAATATAACTTAGGGCTTAAAAGATACAGATCAGGTCAGCCTTTTGTGGAGATAATAGAAATATGTACAAATATAGTAGAGGACAAAATTTACTATTTCAGAAGAGAAACGTATCAGTAATGCTTTAGGACAAAAAACCTGTTACTTAAGGCTGGTACACAGAACTAAACTTCACAGGGAGCACTTTAGTCCTAATTGCACATACAGGCTTTCTCGCTTCTTTGCATGGATCCGCTTTGGCCAGACAGGACAGCAAATAAGGTGAATTTAAGGTCTGATTTAGGTGAGTTATTCCTGGTTTATAATTGCAGTTTATTTTATAAACGATATGGTGTTCAGATCTCCTAAAGTGAGACTTGAGTCCTTTAAAACTGATTTGTTCCTCAAGAGGGACTTCAAACCCTCTGTTCCAGTTATTTATAGCAACCATTATAAGTCATTTTAATTGACTAAAGTTCTTTATTCCCACAGGAGGGACTGAAAGTGTGCCTGTGACTACCCCTGCAACACAGATTTCCCAGGTAAAGATGAGCAAAATGCCCTAAATAACTCCATGAGTTTAAAGAGTTACTAATATATAAACAGTAGTTAGAAAGCTAAATTAAGTGGAAGGAAAAAATATAGGCACGTATGAGGAACATGGCAACTCAAATGTGCACACTGCATGAGTAAATATCATACATATCACATCTTGGGCCACATCTTGAAAGACCCTTCAGTAAAATTTCTCTGCTCACAACCAGTTGTGTTTAGACAGGTGATTTATGAGCTCAGATGATTAACCAGCTGGCATCATTAGCACCAATTAGAGAATGTCAATTCACTGGGCTGGAGGGAGATTTCATGGCTGAGCTTTGAGCTTTCAGCAAACCTGATGAACTCTCCTAGGAACAAGGATCTGTTGATTGACATGGGGCAGGGGTGTCTTCTGCAGAAGGGGCCCAAGTCTTCTATGGGGCTTTGGGTTATCCTGGCAGCCTCACAGCATCTCAGACCATGGGGTGCTCTTGCCTGATAATCCAGATCAGCCAGAGTGTTGAGTCTTTCTGCATCTTTGCCTGGCTTCCCAGCCAGGAGCTTGGAAACCCTGTCTTGGAGTCAACATTGGCTCAGGATGATCAGGTCCTCCAGAGCTCTGTGGCCGCTCTTTGTGTTGACATTCTTGCTGCAATGAGACACCACAGATGCAACAAGGTTGTCGGCACCACAGCCCAGGGAGTGTCCTTCCTGTAAGACACAGTTTCAGTGTTTCCACATGAAATGTTTCCTACGCATTTCCAGTCTGCAGGAAATGCAACAGAGTTTTAAGCACTTTAAATCCCTGTCTGGTTCAATATGGAACTGAAATATGAAAGAGGAAACACACCCCTGAACTGGAAATTCAGGCTATTTGAGACCTCCCTTGTCACCACTGCAACACTAATGCCTGTAACTGCTTGTAAGTGCACTGTGACAAGTGGACAAGAAACTGCTTTCCATGAACCAGTACTTATCTCATCCTCTTTTCCCATCCAGGCAGCTCCAAGCAGGAGCTGTGACTGGGTTGCTGAAGGGCCCAGCACAGTGGATCCAATGCATGTGGAAGAGTGTGCTGGAAACATCACACACACATGTTGGTTTCCAGCTAACATGTGGGTACCCTGATGAATCCTGAAATGAAAGTTACCAGCTAATTCTTCCCTTCTGCTTCAGCAAAGGTCCTATGGACAATGGGCAGATGTGGAACAAGAGCTGATAAGTGCTTGCAGCCCCCTTTAAGCACCTTCATCGTTCTCTTCTGTCCTTACCTTGCTGCTCTGCCTATATTCCTACCATCCTTGCCTAGGAATATAAATACTGGATATACTCCTAGGGCTGGTTCTTTACCACTGTAAATCACTGCAGCTCTGCTGCTTTCCTGCTATGAGGCATTGCAAGCCTTCCTGATGCTTGGCTGTAGAAGTGCTGCCCTTAAACACAGGAGTTAGTAGCTGTTGTAGAAATTGGTTGTTCCCTGGTAAAAGAATGCATCATACAACTCAGAAAAATCAGATCCAGGGTTTGTGGGAAATGTTGGATTTTGTGCCAGATTGGATTCAAGCAGTGTCCTCAGGCAGCCCTTTTTTGAGTGACACAATGTGTATTGACTCCTTCAGATCAGCCCCAGCAGATGTGTGAAGGGATGGGCAGTAGATAAGCTGGGGGAAGTAACAGAGTACTCCTTCATGACCACAGAAGGCTTTGCTCTTTTCAAGGATATATTTATAATAGCAGAATTATCCATGTACAGTATTTCTTTATCACAAGTCTGTTTTCTGCTGGTTTTGACAGGCTTCAGCTCAAGGTCCCTGACAGCAGGCCCTTTTTCTAGTGTAAGGACCTTAGGCAGCTGCCAAGGTTGGCAGATGCAAATAGCCACCCCTTTGGGGACAGAGTCCTGGACAGCCTGGTTAGTGCTGGGGGAGATCTGTGGGGACACAGCTACTCATAGAAGCAAGGGTTCCCTCTCATCCTCTCAGTGGCAGCCAGGGCAGTGAACCCAGCTCACCAAGGCTCTGATGCCTTCTTTCCATCCCAGTCCTTCCTTCCATAAGCCATCCCCATCTCCTGGCCACAACCATCTTCCCTGGGCTGCCTCAAAGACTGAACACAGTTTTAGGCTGCAAGGACAGTCACGACCTTTTGCGAATGTCTCAAATTGCTGGCACTCACCAAGAGAGAAAGGGGGAGGCTCTGCATCTTTGCTGCCTTTGGTCCTGGAAGCAGCATCAGTCCTGTCCACCCTTTGTGCACAGTACAGCACGTGAGACAAAGGCAGAGGCTCAGCAAAGGAGATTTCATGGCCATTTTATGGATATAAATTTTATAATGTCTCACTGCATTGCTTGTGAGGTTTGAGGGCTGCACTCCAAAGGCAGATGGGAGCTGAAATGTGTATCTGATACTAAATTATCTAGATGCCTAAATGCTTTTTTTGAACAGTTCTTGGATGGTTTCTAAGGGATCCCTATGCAGATTCATTAATCCTCTAAGCATTAGTTAGTTTAACATAAGTTGTTAAGGTGTGTTCCGTAAATTCCACAACTTAAGTTTTAAGGTGGGTATTTGTTGCCATGAATAGGTGAGCCAGGGCAACACAGTACAGTTAAACTGTTGCTGTATTATAAAATCTGTCTCTTTTGCTACGTGTTGCACTTAAAAACTTTAGAAACATAGAATTGTCTTGACTTTCCAGAGGGTCACAAACCTGTGAAATATCTCCCTGGTCCTGTAGGCATAATCACTTGGGCAAGACATAAGCATGAGCTGATACTTCAGTGGCTTCCATCTGTTGTAACAGCTTATGGGATTTAAAGGATGGCTTTCTACAGCTTGTTTTCAGAAATGAACTCAAACTAAAATCCACAGCTACACTGCGCTTGGCAAGAGTTCAAAGATAACATGCTGTTCGTATACCATTCCACTTCATTTTGGATCAACCCTGCATCCAATGCCACAAGACTGTTTGTGTTTCCTTTCTGTGCTCTGAGCAGGGAGTTCTCAGGGTTTCAGCACTTCATGTTCAGTCGTACAAGGCCTGTGGCTGATTGGTGTTGTTGGCTGCATTCATTCATCAAGTGGCAACAAAAGGAATGCATTTCAGTGTCTGAAATAGCCACTGCAAGCTGCATAGGGCTGAGAAAGGATATATCGGGCAGGACAGACCCAAGCTGGGGTCTGGAGCACTGAGAAGGACACACAGAGAAACTAAGCTAGCACTGTGACTGCAAAAGCAGAGACTGGCCAACAGTGAATCCCAAACTAACAGCTGTCTTAGGAGCAGAGGATATTTTGTCCAGCCTCTAGTCCAAATCTTTCATCCTGTTGGCTGAACTCTGCTTTCATGGAGTGTTTCAGTGCACGTGGACACCAAAGTCTCTGCCTAGTTTACCCCCTTTCTGGAAGCATCTGAGGAGGAGATGGCAAGGCTTGTTGGCAGAAACATTTCATTTTGGGCTTATTCTCCCCAGACATTGTTATCTCCAGGGCCAGCTCCAGGACTGGTCCACTGCTAGCAAGACTTGAGGCTGTGACATCTCCATCCTGAAGGAGATCTCTAAAATGGATAGCATAGGATAGAACAGAATAGCATATTTCAGTTGGAAGGGACAGATCTGACGAATCAGCCCTTCTCACTTGGAGGACAGCATGTGACGCCCAGCCCTAATGCAGGTGAGGCAGACAGACTGTGCCTTGGCCATGTCAGCTCAGGGTGGAAGTGTATCAAGCAGCTGTGAGCAGGGGATGGGAATATTAACATTTTGCACAGCTGCAGCACTTTATAACCATCCCCCTCCCTGCTTTTCCAGGCATGTATGTCTGACGATGCCATGACCATCTGGACTGAGACATTAGAAGCGGTACGGTCACTGCCTGCCCTAGCAGCATGGCCCCAAGCAGGGGGGCTTCAGGCTACACTCAGAGGTCATAGGGTGTCACTGTGGCCAGGAGGGGTGGGGAAAGGGGTTGAACCAAGTGGTCTGGAGCTCCAGCTGGCTTGGGGAGTCAGGGTTGTCAGCCCGAGGAGGGAAGATTTCCTCAGCCTCCTGGTCCCCTCTGCCCTGTTCCGGTTCCTCTCAGTCCTGCTACTTCTACCCAGGCAGCTCTGGAAACGTGTGTCCAGCCAGATCAGACTGGGAACTGTGGGGTAAGCGATGGGGTAGAAATGGGGATGTCAGGTAGACATCCTCTGTAAAGACACTGCCAGTCTTGATCAGAGGAGGATGGTGCATGCCATTGCCCCGAGGTATCGGAAGCCATCTCTGCTCCATTTACAGGACTCAAGCGCCTGAGTTCCCCGGGGTGGCTGTCCGCTTACCACCAGTGCTCCAGTTTTGGACTCAGTTTATAACCAGATGTTAGGCCGAATTTCTGTTGTAAAGGTAAAAACTACTGGCACCGAAGCGCCTTGGGCCGCGACCTCGCTGTGGGCTTTGTGCAGGCAGAGCGAGCGCCTCTCTCACAGCAGTGGGGGCAGAGTTCAGGGTCACCAGCCCGAGCTGCTCCCACAGAGGGTGTCCCCGCTTAGCCCTCTGCAAGCTGCCTTCCTCCCTCACTGCCCACCTCCACACCTGCCTTGTCTGCTTGCTATGCCAGCCTGGCTTGCCCTGCTCCATCTCCTGCTTCACCCAGCTATCAACTGGCTGCCTCCAGCTTAGGTGGTGAGCTCTTTCAGCAGTGCTAGGACCTCTAGGGACAGAAAATAGGGAGAGTGGGCACAGCATCACTGTATGCCAGGGGAAAACCTCCCATTCCCTCCCTGGCATGAGTTAGAGCTGCCTCCTTCCATGGAAAGGGCCTGCTGACAAAGGACAGAGCTTCTCCACAACCCATGGAGAGCGAGGGGTTAGACCTGTCTGGGGAGAGTACCAGCCCCACGAGCATGTGGGGGAGGAGGACTTGCTCAAAAACAGACACATTCTTGATTTCATAGCTGCTTTGGAGACTAATAATCTGGCTGTTGTTATTGCAAACCTTCTTGGCATGTTTCAGACTGTCCTCTCCTTCTATAGGATGACAGGCTGCAAACCACCAGGAACCCTGAAAAAACTCGTAGCCTAAAACGGGCACACTGATGGCCCAATACAAACACCTCCTATGCTGTACTGAGGCTGCAGCAGGGGCCAAACCTCCCCCCATGTTTCCCAGCCATGACAGGAGGAGGAGAAAGAGGACAGGATGGGTTACACCCAGCCTTCGTGCCACTCTGAGCCACAGGTGACCCTTGGGGACACAACCACCTGCACCTGGGCGGAGGGACTGAACCCACCGTGTTTGTGGTTGCTCTAGTTGCAGGCATTGGCCTCTGAGTTGAAGGCAGGTTTCACAGAAGCAATGCAGGAGCTGTCACGAATCCAGCATGGCGAATATGCCCTGGAAGAGAAAGTCAAGAGCTGCCGCTGTGCCATGGAAGAGAAAGTGGCTGAGATGAAGAATTCCCTCAACACGTTCAAGGTAGGAGTGTGACCTGCGGGGAGGCTGCACATGTGTCACATTAGCTTGTGTGGCACAGGGAAGCATTCCCCTGCCTCCATCAATACTTCCTGCTTGCAAAGAAAATGAGCAGGCAATTGTTTTGGATGGAGCTGGGGTACTTCCTTTGGCTTTGGGTCTCCCCTGACAGCTCCAACCTAAAAGTAGCCCATACTCTGGCCTGTTTAGCCTTCTTCATTGTCCATGAGGCAGTGCTGTGAGTTACCTGGGCACGAGCAACCCTTGCTCTGGGCTGCACATGCAGTGGGCATATGGCCTGTCCACAGGCTGCCCCGTACCTCTCCCTGGGGCAGGTCTGCACTTCCTGCAGGAACCAATGCCATGGGGAGCAGAGAATTAACACAAAACCCTAAAGCCTTTTGAAGTTGCATTCCCACATGGCTGGGAGGAAGTGCTGCCTAGTTTGATCTGGCCCAAGAGGATAAAGACAAAAGACTGGAGAGATAGCCTAGCAAGAAGGCTTGATGTACACTTTAAACCAGCCAGCATCTCCATGCAGAGACTGGATGATTGCGTGTGAGGAGGCAGGCAGAGGAACTCTTTTATTGTTTTAACTGCAAATTTTCCCCACGGGGTTTTGCTGAGTCAATAATACCTTGTGAAGTTAAAGAGGGCTGCTTACTGGAAAAGCCCATGACTGACCCTGTGACTAGGGAGACAGATGGCACCAGGGAAAAGGAGCCCTTGGTGCCGGATGAGAAAGGGAGATAACAAGAAGTGTAAAGACGCATGGGAGAGGTCTCAGAGCAACAAGAGGCAGGGCTATCCAGGACATTGTTATAGGGGGAAAGGGGATTTAAAAATCCAGATACAAGGAATTATGCAAGAAACAGGAGGGGCAAAGGCTACTCTCCCTCTGCCTCATGCCCATATTGACTTTTCTAATGCTGAGCTCCCAGTGAAGCTATCTCCTTGCTCGGGGAAAATACTTTGGTTTACAAGAAACTCTTGAGTCTCTCCCCTTCATCCTACTGCTCACATTCATGAAACTTGTAGGAACTTTATGCATCAGAGCTCTACATCTAAGTAAGGCTTGGTTGAAACTGCCTGAGGGAGGACGTGCTGACAGGGAGGTAACAAAGGGCCTCATTTCCTTAGGAAACCAGGCTAAAAATGCAGATCCAAGGCCTGACTGGCAAAAGCTTATATATATGAGTGCTCACACTGGGATCTGAACCAAGTGCAACATGCGAATACCCATGCTGGAAAACTGCAGAGGGAAGTGTGCTTCCTAAGGTCCACCTCCAAATGCCAGTAAAAGGCGGGAGTCCTCCCAGTGCTTTCAGCTGGTGGTGGATGAAGCCCCAAGTGTCCATCTCCCACCAGTGCCTTAATCATGTGACATCACATGGGTTAGGTGAATTGCCTGTAGAATTAAGGATTGCCATGTTGTGCATGGCACGTGTGACACACACTGGACTTGCAAAGGAAGAGTGTCTAATCACACAGCCACTCTCACAGCACCCTGAAGCATCTTCAGTGCCCACCAGCCAGCATTCAAAGCATAAGGCTGATGGGCACCCTGGGAATGCTGTGCTTTTGCCTGTTTCTCAGGAGGAGCTCAGCGATGCCAAGTCAATGATTGAAGAAATCAGTGCCAAGCAGGAGGAAATGCAACAGAAAATTGAGCAGCTGCAGCAAGAAAAGCGGCGGGAATCACGGAAAATGAAAGCTAAGTAAGAGCCCAAAGTCCAGGGTTCTGAACATGCTAATTACCATTTTGTTAATTTCTGTATAGCTTAATTTCTTAATGTTTTCCTGGCTGGACATGTGTATCAACCCTGGTTATAAACAGAAATGCTAGCCTTCAGTTTACCCCAGGCTTTTAGACATCTACCCCACGGAGCAAACACAGTAGAAAAACGCTATCACCCCACTGTGATTCCAACATCAAAATAGTCCTCAGCAGCTGTCAGGGAAACCAGGGTCCTGTGGAACACACAGACATGTTGGGGCAGGAATACTGTTGAAAGTCAGAAACCTCCACCACCAGAAGGTATTACTAAGTCACCCCCATCCAGACAATAGCACTGCAGTTTCCCCTTCCGAGCTTGCAGGATTCAGTGGGCTCCTGATGGTGCAGTCATGATCTGCTTTTCTATCACCAGCGTTTTCTCCTCTGAGCAGAGTCACACAGAAGCATGTTTGCACACTGCTGGGCCACACTGTTGCTGTGATGGAGCAGACAAGTTGTCCAGCTTGGCCCTAATTAGCCTCCTGAAAACAGAGTTTTGATCATGAGTCCATACAGTGTTTGCCTTGATGCAAACACTTTGCAAATCTAGGCTAGCCCCTTAGCTAATTAAGCTATTTAATTAGATGAAATATGCTCTGCAGAAGAACAGACTTGAAATAACCTTCTCCTATAGCCAGTGGAAGTTATTTCCAGAACATTGTTCATGAACTGCCAATTCCATCAAAGCCAACTCCTTTCCTGGTCTCTGCTAGAGCTGTCCTACTTCTAACTCTGTGGTTGTACTTACAGTAATGTTTGCCATAACTGTAGCATAGGAACTCCACCTGTAGCATTCATACTTCCCATCTGTCTTGTTCTTTATTTGTACAGAAGAGCACAGAAAGATGATCATGGGTCGCAGACAGTACCAACACCTCTCCAGGGCAGCCCATTTCGATCCATTAACCTCCCAGAACCTGTGCTGATTAATGAAGATTTTACAAGTCTTTTACACAATGTGACTTATGAAAAAGGTAAGAAATAGAATAGGCAAATGCAGTGCCTTTCTCAGGAAAAAAATTCAGAAAAAGATCACTAAGTATTCCTCAGGTGCCAGCAGCACAAAAAGAGAGGTGCTCCCCTCAGCAGCACTGCTCTTGGATCTGTGCATACATCTCAGCACAGTGTCTCAGGATAGCAGCCTTGGTGCTGGCCTGGATTCAGGAGATGTTGCTTTGTGAACAGTCCCCAAAGCTCTTGCTTGCCTCCTCCAAGGAAAGGGATGCAGACTGGATCTTTGTTCCTATAGTGCTAGTGGCACAGAGACAGAATCAAATAGTTTCCATAGCAAAACTGTGAAAGACTGGAGGGTTTAACCATACTGACAGGGTTTAGCAGGAGGAAGCCTGTTCTACAGCTGTCTTGTTAAATTTACCTTTGTTCTTCAACAGTGTCTGACACCAGGATCATGCCAATGGGAGAAGGAGGTGTGAAAGTCATAGCAGGTCCAGGTACGAAAATATTAAACTGTCAAAAAAGAGCAGGATAATGATTCAATTAGAGTGCTTGCTTTACTGCATTGAAGAAAGGCTTTCAGGGAACACATTTCACAGGGATGTCTTTCAATCTGCCACATACCTCTATTTTCATACTTGCAGCTGAGATGTGAGGACAAACCTGTGTCCCTGAAGTGTCCAATACCTGATGGTCAATGCCAAGGATTGATGTTTGGCAGGGAAAGCCTTTCTGCTGTTGATTTCTCAGATTCTAAGTGCCTTTGCAGAAAGCAAGAATAGAGGCTTACTGACATGAGAAAGAATAATGAGAGCACCATTTTGCTACTTGGCAAGAGATGGTCTTGCAGTGACAACACCCCAGTAGAATTGGTGAGCTGTTTATTCACCCACCAGCTTCCAGATTCCTTGTTAGACACATCTGAACAGAGGAGTTCTCCTGACAAAAATAAAAATTGGTCAGAAGTAAGAACAGGGGTATAGTAAGTGGACACTATGGATCCTGGCCAGCCGAAGGACACATGAGAACAACCATTAGATGTTTGCAGTGTGCAGTAGCAGCACTCACTGTTCTGGATGGCTCTTTTGCTTAAATCCACTTTAAAAAGAAGAGAAAACAAAAGCTATGGAAAATGGTTCATTGCAACCCAAATTCAAAATATTTGCATTAGAGCAATTCCAACCAATTGGTTCTAATGCACCTGTACCCTTCCCTCCCTTCTCTGTGATTCAGTAACCTCAGACTATCAGTCCTACTGCTGTTGTGTAGCTACACCACACTAACAAAAATGTTAAGAGCTATGACAGTTTACACACATTGAGAATGGCATTTAAATCCAAATTATAACAATGCGTTCTACAATACCTGCCAATAAGCGTCATATTATCAAGTCCTGAAGCGTACCAAAACCCTGAAGGGCAACCATACTTGAAACATATGTTTTCTTCTTCTCTAACATATGTCTGACTTTGGACCTTATTTGGCCTGAAAATAAATGTTGGAAGAGCATGAACCTTGTTCTGCCAAAGTGCCACCAACTGCACTTCCTTTGTAAATTAACAGTACAAGGCCCCAGCCCCTGTGAAGCACAAAGAACGCTTCAAACTCTCCTTCTGGTACTTCCACTGGATGAAAACACAGGTTAGCTCCCAGCTGTAGCATACTCTGTCTACTGACATACCAGAGTCCATATCCCTGTTTGTTGTTGCAGGAGCAGCTATGGAGACAGATGACAGCCTCAAGCCTTCCTTGGCAACAGAAGGGCAGTCAAAAATGCATCTGCCATCAACAGTATGGAAGCAGCCCAAGGACACCAAGGACTGGGGAGATGAATACATTTCCAAAGAGCAACCGGAGAGAGGGAAAGACATGGGCCAAAGCAGATACAGCTCAGCAGACATCATATGTGAACCTTCTTTGGCTGGTAAGGACTAGAAAACTGGCTAGAGGGGCTCAAAGCTGTATCCATGTCTGGTGTGAGCTGGTTGGTAACCAGAGTCTATGAAGGGAGATATACGGGCCAGTTTATCCTGCTAGGGGGGAATGTCTCAGGGCCTCACACTCCAAGACCTCTGGCCTTTGAATTTGTTGATCTGTGTGACTGAGAGAAATCACTCTGTACCCAGGACAGCCATTCTCCTTTCCAAGATCTAGAGTACTGATGATATTGTGGCAGTGTAGTTGCTTAAGTGGGTGAAAAATACATTCTCATTCTGCAGGAAATTGGAGGGGAAACCCTGATATGAGTTGTTTTGCCTTTGATTGCTTGTTTTGTTATTCTTAGAAAAATTTGGTATTCATAGGGGAAAACACATTTGCTTTGGAGCTTTCTTAGCATGACTAGTGGCTCTAGTTGTGTCTGGGGTATGCTGTAGCATCAGGCTGGAATTTTACATTTTGGGGAAAGAAGACATACATTGTGTGTGTGACAAGACATTGATATCACTTTTAAAGAGTTTCTCCTTTCATGATTCAATGTCAGTTCACCAGTCTAACGTGAAGCTGTCTCTGAGGTCAGTACTTCCTTATTTTTAAACTTAACCATTATCTTCTGGAAGCCAAAAGGCAGAACATCGCTTTGGAGCTGCTGGAATCAGAAAGGAAGTATGTCATCAACCTTTCCCTAATCCTGAAGATCAAGGCCACGTTGCAAGGGCCAGATGTGAAAAGAAGCACCAAAGAGAGAAGGTATTTGATTTAGTGTGCTCTCTCTCTTTTGGGGAGTTTTATTCAGTCAATATTCTGTTTGCATCATCCTCTCACACAATTTTCTTTCATCCACAGAGATATCTTTGAACCCTTAGTTTATTTCTAGTTAAAAATTGGAGGCATTGGAAGGTTTTTGCAGCAGCTAAAGACTTTTCTACCTGTCCTTGCATTTTGTCCACCATCTTCATTCTGATTCTGGATGAAACCAACATGAAATGGCAGAAATGCAGTAGTATATTTTGACCAACTCTGCATCAATGGATTGTCTTGTTAAAGGGCCTGACAAATGAGACAACACACAAAGCTGGGGAGCTCTCAGTGGGAAGGCTCAGGGCCTGCTTCATTAGCCACAGCAGCACTGCCTTGGGCTTTTTAGTTCTGCAAATTCTGGTCAGCTACAGAATGCACTGGAAAGTCAGTTTAGGAAGCCTTCAGAACACTGTATTAATAACCAGCTGGAAAGGGTACTTGCATGTACATAGCAGCCAAAACAGGACCTCCTGATGCAGCCAGGACTCCAACAAAAGTAGTTAATAATACCTGTGCTATAGCAGCAATAATATGTGTAGCTAATAATATATGTGCAAGACTGTGCTGACCAAACATGAATGGCTCACTTCAGCAGTACAGGCTTATTAGGGCTGAGTTTTTGCTCTGTGTAACCAGTCTGAAATCGTCTCCCTTCAGTTTTTTCCCCAACTCTCTGCGGTTCCTGGTCCAGCAGCATGTGGATTTACTTCACGCTCTGCAGGAGCGAGTCCTGAGCTGGCCACGACAAGGGATCCTAGGAGACATCTTCCTGAAGTTAACAAATGATGAGGTATGTTAAAGACCTCTCCGGACTCCTCTGTTATGATGTTGTGTTGATGGCCCACAGATGGGCCAAAACATCTTGCAACAGAGGGGCTGTGCTGTGAAGCTGTGGCTCGGGTAAGGCCTTTCAGCAAGCCTCCTTTGAGCAGACTCCTGGTGCATGGTACCCCCTTTGCTGTAGTATTTGATTGTTCAGGGAGCCCCTGTGCCAGACACACTGTGGGCCTGCAGCCTCATAGCACAGCTCTATAATCAGTGCATGAGACCTAGACTCGGTTGCAGGAGCCACACATGAGCCTTGACAGCTTGAATGTCTGTATTCCCACTAAGAGTTTGAAAAGGGAGTGTTTCTGATACTCCCCCAGTACACTTTGCTCAGAGTTACAACAAGCAGGTGGGCAGGCCTCTTACGCTGTATGGTTTGTTGGATCTGCTTCTCAGGGTGGAGGTCTGCCCTGGTGAGCAGCGGGACCTCTCCAGCAAAAATGTGTAAAAACTCATCTGATGCTTTATAAATTTTTTAGAGTCTTAAATAAGAAAAGCTTCCTGCTGCCCAGCCTCTCTTCCCCTCCCCACCTGTTGTAAAAGCTTCACACACTGTGCTCAACAGCTGAACACGTTTTATAAAACGGCCTTTCATGAGAAGTTCTGAGCCCTGAAAGAGTCACACAGTTAGCAGCTCTCCTGCACTGATGACCTTCCAGGGGTGATGGTGGGGAATCAACAGTTTCTCATTCTGGTTGGTTCTATGACCAAAAAATCTCTCTTAAGTTTCTTTGTTCTTTCCTCTTTTTCTTTTGTAAGAATAATTTTCTGGACTACTATGTTGCTTACCTGAGGGACCTGCCAGAATGCATCTCTCTGATCCACGTGGTGATCCTGAAGGAGGTAAACTTCCTGCCTACTTCAAAGACATCTAATGACAACATGCAAGCCTGGATCTTTTCCCATTATGCCTGCCCATGATAGGACTCTTCTGCCAATCCACTTGTTCTGTTACCAAATGCCAGTTTCCTGAAAGGTGCCATGGCTGACACACACCTACAAGAGGCAGCTTTAACACTGTGTGTAACCCAACCTATTTTTCTGCTGGGACATGAAACAGCGTCTCAGATTAAGCCTCCCAAAAGCTTGCCTATGCATGTGCTATCCAGATCTTTTCCAAACAGTGTCTCCTGGAAAATGGAGGACTCATCCAAACAGAGAGAGCAAGAGTGAGGCTGTAAGTGCTTTATAGATAAGAGTCTTCACTGTTCAGCTTCAGGCGTTTGGCCTCACACACTTGATTCTTGGTCTAAACTAGGAAAGTTAAATGTAAAGGTAGTTTTAAAGTGCAATAACTAAACCACACAAGCTTGTTTCCAAGACATTTTAATTTAGAAGTCAATCTCATCTTGTTCAATTCATTTGGGCCTCAGCTAAGAACTTAATTCTGAACAACAGTGTATACCTGGCATTTCACTGAAACTTAACTAGTGCCCCTCAAACATACACCCCTGCTTAATTAGGCTGAGAGTCCCTCATAAATAATCTCCACCCTAAACAATTTCATCCTAGTATTTCTGGTGGAAGGAGTTGCAACTGTCCCTTCCACAAGCAAGATGAAGATGTGTCACAGTGTGCTGTCACACACAACTGCCACTTGACTGGTGCGCTCCTATGAACTCTCAAAACTACTTACAGCACAACTACTTATTAAACCACAGAACCATTTGGAGGCAGACATGTTTTATGGGTGGAAAAGACTCTTAAGTTGCTTTCTCTATTTCAGGTAGAAGAAGAAATCAAGTCTGATCTCTACATTCTGTTCTTCCATATAGTCCAGCGAATCCCTGAATACCTTATTCATCTACAGGTAAGGCCCCAGGATGGCAACTGTCTTGTTGAACTCTTATCACAGCAGATGACTTTTAATTCAGAGCCGGTATTTGAGCCTATACAGGTACAGGGCTTCTGGCAAACCTAGTGGGCTCTTTGAAAAAAAAAAAAAGTTGAAAGGGAAAGCCAGCTAGAAATAGCTCAATTTTCATAATTTTTACCTGCAGCTCGCTTATTTTTGCCAGTTTCTCCATTTGACCTGATAGAACAAGCTTTTTTCCTCTGGGAAGGCAAAAAGTCTGCTGCCTGCTGCTCTGGGAGAATGGGAGGACAGAGATGGGACACATCTCCTGTGAGCTCCAACCTAACAGCTATGCTCTTTGCTGAGTGCTCCACAGGTGTGTTAGCTGAGAGACTGAGAGGGCTCCTAGGGCCCAACAATCTTTCCTACAGAGAGATGGCTGATAAAAAGAGTTCTGGTTCACAGAATTGTACTGAAACATTTCAGGCAAGGCAAATGACACAGAAAGCAGGCCCCATAAAGCCAAGACATTGGTTTATTTATCCAAAGCTAAGCTTAACCAGTGCATCACCCACACATTCCATGTGGTTACTTGTGCATTTCCACTGGAGTAGCAGGAGGCAGGCCCCATCCAAGTCCCTCAGAAACTGATGCTGCCTGGAAAAGCTCCCAAAGGGCAGTGCCATGTGCACTCCAGAGCACTAATCCATGGTTCCAGTAGCACCTTCTACCAAGAAAGGGTTAGGACACCCTCCAAACAGCCTGCTCTCCTCTGTGCCTCAGAATGTCCTGAAGTTCACGGAGCAAGAGCATCCTGACTATTACCTGCTGCTGGTGTGTGTGCAGCGCCTCCGGGTTTTCATCTCACACTATAGTCTCCTCTTCCAATGCAATGAAGACCTGCTGATACAGAAGAGGAAAAAGCTGAAGAAGTAAGCACATCATCAGCTTATACTCCCTATCACGAGGGAGGGGAGGTGCGAGGGAATCCAGGCAGCAGGGGGTTTAGGCCCAGGCAAGATCAACAGGCACATTGCTCTGTTGAAATAAAACAGATCCTTTGTATAGGAGTGCTGGAGAAGGACTGCTATTGGCATTTGGCCTCCAAACTGATTTGGGGTGGGCCCTTCTGTCTAACTCTGAGAGAGAAAGGAAAATCACATTTAAATCCTTCTAAACATAGCAGCCATGTGTTTCATGGGATCAGCTGATTCCTTAAGCTGATGTCAAAGTCATTCCTCAGTAGAAAAACATACAGGGATTTAGCTGCTTTGGCAGCTCGAGGCCCTGGTGAAGGTGAATGTTTCCTTCATGGGCTAAGACTCCAAAAGAATAGGGTTACCTTATTTTACTGGGGGAAGGGGTGGGAGAAACAAAAGCCTCCCATAACCTGTTTGAGATGAACTATAATGTATGATCTATGAATGTAGATTCTCAAGTTGCAGTTCAGAACAATTTCTTGAAATCAAGACTTTTTACTCAAATTAAAATCTGGTTGCCTTTGCTCCTTGTGATGATTTACCTGGGAAGTAGGACAAGATCAAATTTCAAGGGAAGCTTTCAAATATGGAGGGTGGTAAAGGGCTGGAGCAGACTGCTGGGGAGGGACTGCTATCAGAAGAGGCATTAAGAACAGGACAGAAAGCAGGAGGCCCTGCTGACTGGAACAGACTAGGTGGAACAAGTTTTCCTTGGGGTGGGAAGAGGTGAACGGGAATATTAAGGTCCCTCCCAGTCCTGTTTTCTGTGATTCTACATGCTCGTGCTCATTCCCTGCCTTATTTCTTAGCCCGACGATGGATTTCTCCTCCCTCAGGTCATCCCTGGTGAAGCTGTACAAGGGTCTCACCTCCCAGTGTACAAGCCAGGAGGTTTCTCCAACACCCAGTGCAGCATCAATGCGGGACAGTGGGATCCACACTGAAGAGACAATACAATCATTCCCGGCAGCACCTTCCTCTGGCACAACAACCCCGTAAGCCTGTTGTTCTAGTAGGTGGCTTTCAAAGTAGGCTGAAAACTCTCCTCACCCATACCATGCAGTGACACCAGGCAGTTACAGGTTGTCATTTTCAAAACAGCTCCCTGTACATAGATAGAGGGATTAAGGGCTGGCTCCTTCCTGCTATCCCCTACCATGTGGCTTACAAGCAGGAAATGTTTCAGAGCTCTACCCAAGGCTGTCAACGCTCTTGCTAGCTGCCTTAACAGCTAGCTGCCTAACAGGGAGAATATGAATTTGTGTAGGCCTGAGAGTGGTGTGCATAGTAACACTCTGCACTATTCACTGTGAACATTACAAGAGCTAGGAAACATGATGAAGGTCTCAGAGTAGGAAAAAAAATACTTTTCCACACAGCACATAATTGAATGATGGGACTCACTATCACAAGATACAAGTACAATATGGGTTCAAAAAGACATCAGACTAATTCAAGACAGAAACAGCTACTGGTAGGACCTGGCAATCTTCACAGAATCACAAAATATTCTGAGCTGGAAGGGACCCACACGGATCCTCGAGTCCAGCTCCTGGCCCTGCACTGGACAGCCCCAAGAGTCACACCATGTGCCCGAGAGCATTGTTCAAAAGCTTATTGAACTCAGGCTTGGTGCTGTGACCACCTCCCTGGGTCCAGTGTCCAACCACCCTCCGGGTAAAAAATCTTTTCCTAATATCCAACCTAGACCTCCCCTGACAACGTCAGGCCACTCCTTCAGGTCCTGTCACTGGTCACCAGAGAAGAGATTGGTGCCTGCCCCTCTACTTCCCCTCATGAGGAAGCTACAGACTGCAGTGGGGTCTCCCCTCAGTCTCCTCCAGGCTGACAGACCAAGTGACCTCAACTGCTCCTCATACAGCTTCCCCTTTGGCCATTTCCAGCTTATTGATAGGTGCCAACTGAGATGAGGACTAGAGAAGCACACTGGACTTGCCTTTTTTCTTATGCAAACAATTTGTGGCTGTTGTGCTTCCTTACATCATTTGATACTAACAATAAGAGTTTGGCAACATCAGTCCAAGTCCCCCTGAAGTAGTAGTGTTATTACATCGGTCCTTAGCCTCCTTCTCACCAGATTGCCCAAGACAATCTCCCTCTCACAGACATCATGCTCCAGGCCCCCATCTTGGTAGCCTCAGCTGGCACTGCCCCCACATTCATCCTCAGCAGAGGACTCAACATGGGGCCTGGTGGGTCCTCATCAGTACTGAGCAGAAGTGGGGAAAATAACTCCCCAGGTACATCTGGCCATGCAGATATGGCAGTACAACTCAGGCTGGGTTTGCCTTGCCTGACATGAGAGCATGCTGTCAGTTCATCCTTACCCTGGCATTGGCTATAACACCGAGTTCATACCAGGGCTGCTGCTCTACCCAAATCTCCCAGCCTGGTCTGATGCATGGGGTTATCTTGTCCCAGATGCAGAACTCTGCATGTCTTGAACATCACAAGGTTCCCTCACTCCATTCATTATGACCCCAGAAACTGGCCATAGGACTTTCCTAACTATTGTTCTTTAAGGGCCATGGAGGTCATGCCCTGCACCTAGTACCTCATCCAACACAGCACTGCTGATTTACCTGGAACATGAGGAGGGTAGCAGACCTCCAAGTACTCCTGACACACTTCTGGGTACAGAGCCACTCTCCCCAAGAGAGAAATCCTGTCCACCTGAAAAGACAACCAGACCACAGGAAAGTAAGGCACAGCCCCTACATTACAGAAAGAGCAGGAAAATAAAAATCCAAAATGCAGATGAACAGGAAAGAGATGGAGCAGTTGGTTTCTCATCTCAGTTTCTATTAATTTCGTGCTGTAGAGTACAAAAGTCAGCCAAAGCTACTGGATAAACAGTTCTGTCTCTGCAAGTTTGCTCCTCCTAACCAGCCAGGCAATTTCTGTGAGTGACAGCTCTGTTACTATTCTCCAAGACAGGAAAATACCTTTGGGCCATAAATCAACACAACAGGGCTGGGTGAATGAAGGGGTGGGGGGGGCTTGTCGTGCTGTCTTTGTCATCTTTAGTATTCCACTTCCGTCTGTTTTTTTGTTTTGTTTCTTATTTTTAAGGCATTTGATGCCTCAGATGAAGAAACCCCAGCCAACTGTGATTGAGAACATCCAGGCTGTAAAGCCCCCTGACTGGGAGATGGAAAGTAGAAAACATGAGAGGCCAGAGAACATCCTTGCATCCTCTCAGCTGACAGAGCAGGAACTGAAGGCTTTGACAGCCCCCTTACAATCCATCCCTGAAATGGAGTATGAAGCACCACCAGCTGATGCGGTGGGAAACACTGAGAGAGCCATCAGGACCTCCGTGGAGCTGCTGCAGGATGCGAGGAACTTTGCACCAAGCTACGAAGAATTTGACTACCCTGGGGAGGTTTTCACCATGCCAGGCCCCTATGAAGAAGACACCTTTCAAAACCTCGCTCTCTTTGATAATTGCTCTCCAGCCTCTTCCGAGTCCAGCCTAGATATTTGCTTCCTTAGGCCTGTTAACTTCACCTCAGAACCAGAGAGGACAGACCATGCCTTACAGCCATTGCCTAAGAGCTGCACTCCCGTGAGCAGCAGTACTTACAAGCGTGAGATGTTCCACAGCAAAGGCAAGCAGCTGAGCAGGTCTCTGAAGGAGCTGCCGAGGAGCGCTGAGGGTGTGAGCACCAGACTCTACAGCACACGGAGCAGCAGTGGAAGTCGTCTGCAGCAGAAGCAGGAGAGGAATGTTCAGCCTCACTTGATCTCAGCTTCATCTCGAAGCTCCCAAAGGAGCTACTTCCCCCCACAGAGAGGAGCGGGTGAAAAGCCGAGCTTTTTGGAAGTAAGGAGGCTAAAATAGGAGGAGAAAAAAAATGGCACGTGGTGGTGCAGCAGCAGGAGAAAGATCTGAGATACAGTTAGACTAGAACACGCCAAAATAGCTTTCAAGTCCACACATTCAAAGTCCTCACCTGCATGTACATGCCCAAGGGAGGGACAAGACAGCTCCTTTTCAAACATGTCTTCCCCTGGGACAAGCAGGGGTTAAAGGTGCACAGCTGGCTGAGTGACAGCTACAACACCCTTCAGACCAGGTAGCCTCTTGTGTGTCTCCACCTGTCAGTGAGCTTCGCCCCCCACAAGTGAATGTTCTGATCAGGTCATAAAGTATGCACAAAGCTGTTTGAAATCCGTGCTACGGGTGGCACCCAGTTAAACAGGTGCCTTTCCACCTGCTGTGAGGAGTGCTGGGTAAGTGCTGGGTAAGTCATGCCGGTGTAAACCAGCATGACTTGGCCAAACTCAACCCATTTAACACCAGCAAGGATCTGGTCCACAGGTTTTGTTTCACCTGCATTTGTTGCATGGATTGTAGACCCATGCCAAAGTCTATGTGAGAACAGTCAGAACCCAGCAACCTTGTCCTTCAGATGGGACATGGCAAGCAGCACTCTAACCATTCAGGAACACCAGGTCTTGGAGGAACAATGTTTCTGCAGTCTGCAGTGACAGTCCAAAGTCAGCTTTGAGCTGTTACACTCCAGGAAGTAGATGCCCTTCAATTCCTGGGGAAGAGGCCAAGGGTGCACAGCTAGTTCTGTCACTGTCGTGTGGAGAAACACCCTCCTGTTAAAACTAGGCAAGATACAGATGAGGCTGTAGATGCAGATAATGATGGGAGGTAGGTTCTAACAGCCTGACTGAAAAGGCAGCAAGGAAACATCAAAAGAAAAGGAAAAAACCCAAACCTATTGAGTAAAGGAGGTGGTGGATGGCTGAACAGAGGACACAAGGCAGAGGGGATAAGCCATGGGGACACAGGCCCCACAGAAACAGGAGCCTGTGAGCTCTTTGGCACTCACCTGCACAGAGCTGTGGCCCACAGCAGGGTGCAGATGTGGAGCTTGTCCAGAACTGCAGGATACATTCTCCCTCACATAGCAAAGGAGGTCACCATGGCAGTGGTGGGCAGAATTGGAGAAAAGGGTCTTGTCCAGAGTCTTGCTGAGAGGAGCTTGGCACTCTCCTGAAGGAGGGAAAGATCTTTTAGAGGCACATTTACCAGAAGCTTTGTGTGCTAATGAAGCCTTCTGCCCCACAGATATAAAACCATGCAGCAGCAGAGCCAGCAGAAGAGTCTTTTACAACATATCACAGCTCAAGAAGCCTGAAGCCTCCCTGCCCTAGGGGAGAAAGGAGAGGGTGGGAAGTTTTTCCAACTGCCCAGGCTGGCTTGCTCCCTCACTAAACAAAAAGCTTAGCAAGAAAGGCTCCAGTTCCCTCTAACAAAGCTTATCCTTCTACTCCTCTGTCACTGCCTCAGCCTCAGAGCCAGCAACAAGCTCTCTGCAGAGGTACCAGTGTTCCTGAGGCCCAAGTGACCTGTTGTTTCCCAGCCTTGCCAGCACCTCCTCACTCACCAGGTCCCTCCTAGCACAGAGAGACAGAGAGAAGGGAACAAGAATGTGAGGTTGCAAATGCTGGTTAAATTGTCTTTTCCCTTTTAGGAGCTCCATGCAGAAGACAACACCAGGTTCTGCCAGAAGGATGACAATGAGCAAACATCCTTCAGCGACCACAACCCGCGGCACGAGCCCAAAGGGGGTTTCCGGAGCTCCTTCCGCAAGCTCTTCAAAAAGAAATAAGCAGCCCCAAGAAAGGCAGGCCACAGCCTAAGCACAACAGTGCTTCCCCAGGTCCCCGAGGGTGGAGACAGACAGCAAGGCCCCAAGGTTCCCCTGACTAACACGGAGGGTGGAGGGGTGGGGGAGAGGAGACTGTCACAACTGCCTTACAAACGCATCCTGCTCTTTCTAGCACAGGGCAGGGCCAGGCTTTGGGTTGCAGTGGAGCTCAAACAGCATGTCCAAAAAGCACAGGAACTTGCTAGCTTTCATCCCTGCCTGACTTAACTTCCCTCAGTTTTGGAAAGCTTTGGCTGAATCCCACTATCTTCTCCTCCCCCTCATCCCCCAAAACCGCTTGATTTGCCATACATCTTTGCTCTTCCAAACTCATGCCAGGTCTTATTTGGGCTCACCCACAACAGAAGGGTTACCTTTGCAGCCCTGGCATCCTGGCCAGAAGTCTAAAATTCCCTTCTTTCCTCTACTTTCCCAAAAAACGTGCCATCGAAGATGTCTTCCAGGAGGCCAGCTCACATTACCTGGGTGGTTTGAGAAGGTCTAAGGAGCATCAGCTGAAGCACCTGAGTATTGTACTGCTTAATCAGCAACATCCTTTCTTTTGGACTTCAATCATTCCCCAAAATCCTCCTTCACCTTTTATGTGGCACCCTGTTTATTGAATTGCCTCCTGCTGTATGAATCTCTGCTCCTGCTGTCAGAATTGCCCATGTCTCCAGGCAGGTGATGCAAGCTGAGCCCAGGGATTGCCACAAGAGACAAAGACCTTATCCCCACTGTGGATCAATGCAGACACTGACAGAGTCAACCAGTGTCCTGGCTCCTGGTCTGTAACACATCTGAAATACACTTTGCTAATAATTCTTTGGCCTGACACCACCTTACAAGCCCAATCACGTGCAGCTTTGGAATGGTTCTTCCAGGTAAAAATTAAGGCTCTAGGGCAGAAAAGTCAATGGTGCACCATGTTCAAAGTCATAGTATCTCCTTCTTCTGCAAGGACAGAACAACAAGGCCACACACGTGCCACCCTCCTCGCATTTGGACATGAGAAACCCTCCGCAACTTTGATCTCTGCAGAAGACTGTAGCTTTTGTATGGAAACACAGCCCTCTGAAGCAACACCCATGTCACACCCCAGCAGCAAGGGCACCACTGGTGCAGTGGTGTTACCAGTGGAGTAGTACTGGTGAACTGTGGTGCTACCTGAAGCTGGGGCATTCTGAGGGCACTTTCAAGAGGAAATGTGGTTTTATCACCTTGTTTTGAAAAGCTTGGGACACTGGTTTGTCTTAAAGGACAGCTTCACCTTAAGAGGTTGTGAACTGTCTCTGTGGGGCCAACAGCAATGTCTTGGGGGAAATGTGCAAGGCTGTGAGATTAGGGGCTTGGGACTGTCAGCATCAGCACAAGGGTGACTGAATTTGGTGCCAAGAGAAGAGCACTCATCATGCTGCATGGCTCTCCTGGCAGTGGCAACAGCACAGGAAAGCCTCAGAGCAGGTTTGGATGCAGTGGCTAATACCCACCACAGATGCAGGGCCTAGAGCTCTCCCACAGTGTTGACTGACCTGCATTTACCACCTGCTTTTCCTCTTCTGGTGGAAGCAAAGAGGTGTGTGTGAAAAGGGCACCTAAGACAGACGAAATCCATCCTTTATTGCAATTAGAGTTTTCCCAACATTTCAAGAATGTGACCAAGGAAAACCCCAGAGATTAAAATGTTTTAGCTGGTGCCTGTCCCATAAATTTCAATGAAACTAAAAGTCAATTCTCCTCCTTACAAAGAGGAAAGAAGTATGATACTTTCCTCCCCTAGCTGTAGGAAACTACTCTGGGAAGATTTTTTTTTTTAATTTAAGGCTTTTAATGGCAAAAAACCCCACCCTTCCATTCTTTCCCTCTCCCTCACATCCTCATTAAATTACAAATTCTCTAGCCCTTTCCAGTCAGGATTGCTCCATGCTGACCAGCCACAGAATCACAAAGACAATTCCTAGGACTTGGCAGCTTTCAGTCAGACTGTGTAGGGCAGGATAGAAATACATTAAGAGCCAGATACTTGTAACTGAAGCATCAGCAAAGCCTGTTTGTTCTGCAAAAGATCAGTCATAGACAGAACTATTTGTTTGTCCATGGAACCAGAGTTGTACAATTAAGGACAAGTGTCCACTGTACTGCAGTGAGGCTGTCAAGGGCTCTGATGTTTGGTGTCTTTGGTCTCATATATGTAATGACACTTCTGTCCTTCATAGAACAAACCTGGTTTTCACACTTGCCAGGCAGATGCCAGGACAGAAACAGGACAAAGGAAAAAACCTACCTGCTGACATCTCCTGGGTGAGGAAATCCTTCCGAAGTGGCAGACCCTTGCTTGTAAAATGCATGTGGATTTTAGCTTCTGTTTTAGTGATTTAAGGCACAGTCAAAATTGATGGTTTTTTCTTTCTGATTCTGTATGAGTTCTCACTTCCAGTCCTATACTTATCATTTGCAATGTCCTTGTACCTGCTCAGAATCTGCAAATGTAAATAATATGAATGAATGATGCTCACAACCACACAAAAACACACAACCTCTTGCAGGATCTATTCCAAATTCACCTTTAGTGTACATGTGTGTTCTGGATTATTTTTCTTCCTGTGCCAAATAAATTTTGCTTTTAATTAACACTGTTGTCTCTTGCCCTGAATAAGCCGGAAGGCTGCATCCATTAAAAGAAACACTTGTTTCTCAGGTCCCTTTCTGAGGCAACATTAGTTAAAAAATCCTGTACCCTGACACACAGAGTCATGCAAGAAGACTGTTTTCTACATGTGGTTCTAAGACTCTTATCCAGAACTCAGCTGAGTCACTCTCTAGGCTTCTGGTCAAGATCCTGTTGTTGGTGTAGCTGACTGTGACATTTCTTCATCTCCTTCCTCCATCTCCTTTACTCCCTTCTGCTGCTTCTGTTGCAGACACATGAACTTCCACAAAAAAATCATGTAAGTCTCCTCCAGTGCCATATCCACCACTCTAACTTCACCTATCCAACTCTGTAAAAGATCTTAGTATCTTCCTGTATATCACAAACATCTGCCACAGACCAAGTTTTTTTAAAAAATTTAATTCCAGTTCTGACTATTAATACTATCTTACTTTTGTCACATTCTCAGCAGGGCCAAAACAATGACATCACAAACAGGGACAACTCAGCCCACAATCCTTACACCTCCCCATGCCACACAGCATCTGCAGCATTCCTCCTGCTGCTCGGTAGCACTCTGCAGCGTTTTGTCCTCTTTGAGGATAGTGGTCTCAGAGATCCGAGTGTGCCAGCAGAGGTTTGACTCTACAGTCAAAAGCAGTTTTACCCCTGTGAAAATCTGATGGGTTCTTTGCTCCTCTCATATCAGCAGGCTGCTGGGGAACTGCCAGTGCCTTAGACAGTCCCTGACAGGACATTCTGTCATCCTGACCGCGACTCTTCCAGATCACCTCTCCATGGCTACACTCCCTGCTTAAGTTAGCCACCCTAGACTCTCCTCAGATTATTGTGACTTTCAGTGCTGGTCAAATGTATCCTCTCACCACTTCATTCCTCTAAGCCAGCGTAACTGAGGCTGCTTTATATAAGTTTATATAATTTAGGCACTTTCTCCCACTTTTTTTTTCCAGAGTTGTAATGTATTCTGGCTTCCTCTACAGGTTCTTAAGAGTGGTTTCACCTCAGTACAAGTCATGTACATGTACAAGTAAAAATATTCCTTGGTAAGGGCTACAACCACAACAGATTCCAAGGAATCTGGATGTTTTTTCCAAATTCCACATGAAGTTGTCAGGGCTGAGGTCTAAACGGAGGAGAAGCTAGGAGTGCCTTTGGCCACTGTTTGGTTTTGTGGAGTGGATTAGATGGATTAGTTGATTAGTTCTACTTGTGGATGATTTTCACTTATTCACTCAGTTCTTTGAAAGCAGATGTTTCACATGTGGCCAGGTACAAGATATTAAGCATGATGTCCCTTTATTTGCTGTGATCTGATTGAACAATGAGACGAGATGTAGGCTCTTAGAGGAAATCACCTCCCTAAAAAATTCATACAGTAAAATTCAAGAGACAGTATTTACCCATAGGGTGCAAATCCTTTGACACAGTAAAGTTGTAACAGAAAGCTGCTGAGCTGGAGTAACACCTACAATGAACAATCCTGGAGTAGAGAACAACACAGTTAGAAGATGCTATTTTATGTCTCCTACTGTATGTAGACATTCCTTACTTGTCTTCTGCTTCATATGGCTCCTCTGCTTACAAACTGCTGCATTTTTTTAGTATTTTACTATCCCGAGCAAAACCTACCCCTGTAGCAGACTCACAACTGTCCTTAATATAAAGCACCCAGTACTTAAGCCTAAGGAAGCCAGACTCAGACCACAATAATCTAAGTGTACACTTCTGGGATATGTAAGGCTTTTCTTTTTTTTTAAATTAGCTTTAGAACATATCTTTTAATGTCAAAAGGTAACAGTCACTACTAAATTTTCACTCAAATGCAATCTGAATATCACAGCATACAAAGATCACCTACAGATGGTTACATACACGGATCATCAGACACACCAGCTACAGATTACCACTTCTTTTTCTCTGTTTTTTCTTTCATTCATTTGGGCTTTTTTTTCCTTTTTTTTCTTTTTTTTTTTAATAATCGGATGACAAAACTTTTAACATTTACTCATTTTGGTAAGTAACCATGGCATCAGATAAAGGCAGATGGAACAAACTTATTGAAACCTAAGATTTGTTCTCCTCAGAAACAAAAAAACGCTCATTTCAAATTAGATTCAACAATTTTGTCCAAAGCAATTCCAGTAACATGTGACCTTTGTTTACTCTTCTCTTTAAAAATATTATGGATGTTCTGCACATTTGGCAGCTCAGTTGTCATGCATCTGGCAAATGGGTTTTTATTTTATTTTTCCCTTACAACTTTTCAGCCACCCAGTAAAGGATTTCACATTTGCTGGCTAAAAAGTAAAAAAAAAAAAAACAAACCCAAAAAAACCCCCAAAAACCAAAAAAAACCTTACTCTTTATTTTGTTTCCCTTATAACACACTATTTTCCACTGAATGCAAAAGGTAAATTTGCTCAGAGCTGACAGAAAAATGCATTTAAGTGTGGTTTGTTTTTTTTAATGGAAAACAAGGAATGGAATTTTCAAAGTAAGTTAAAAGCACTTTTCTTTTCACACCTGTTGGGCCACAGGTTTCTCTCCTGAAGAAAGGTTTCACCTATGCATCACCCAGGTTTAGAAATGACAATTTAACAATTTTTTCCATGAAGCACAATAATCTACTATCTTCAACAGTGGTACCTCCAGTGATATTAACAAGCTTGATTCAGGCCAATTAAACAGAAAATCTAATTTAAAATACACACAAAAGAAAAATCGTTAAATATCCCACAATGTCAATCTAAAACTTGAAGGATCTAAATCCAGTCTATTAGCATGCTCTTACTGAGACAGACCTCTCCCTCCCTGATTTAAGAGAGGCATATTAGAGAAATAGGTTAGTCACCACTGGAAATGGCTTCTTGAAGATAGAGCACTGAAATGCTTCCATGGTATCAACCCTGAAGCAGGATAATGTTCTCCCTTATCAGACAGTTATAGACAAATTCAATGGCTGCTGAATGCCATGGCAACAGCATGTACCTTGGGGTCAACCAGGCGGCACAACAGTTGACTTTCCATTAGAGCACACTGAAAGAAGCAAATGCATGGCACTTGCAAAATCACCACAGAATCACAACAGGTTGGGTTGGAAGGGACCTTTAAAGGCCATCTAGTCCAAACCCCCTGCAATGAGCAGGGACGTCTTCAGCTAGAGCTGGCTGCTCAGAGCCCTGTCCAGTCTGACCTTGAATGTTGCCAGGGATGGGGTATCCATCACCTCTCTGGGCAATCTGTGCCAGTGGTTCGCCACACTCATTGTAAAAAACTTGTTCCTTATATTTTGTCTGAATCTATCCTCTTTTAGTTTAAAACCATTACTCTCTGTCCTACTGCAAGGGGCCCTATTAAAAAGTTTGTCCCCATCTTTCTTAAAAGCCCCCTTTGAGTACTGAAAGATCACAATAAGGTCTCCCCAGAGCCTTCTCCAGACTGAACAACCTCAGCTCTCTCAGCCTTTCCTCATAGGAGAGGTGTTCCAGCCCTATGATCAACTTAAGTGTCCCTCCTCTGGACCTGCTACAACAGGTCAATATCCTTCCTGTGCTGAGGCCCCCAGAGATGGATGCATCTCTGCATCCACCCCAGGTGGGGTCTCATCAGAGCAGAGTAGAGGGGTAGAATCATTTCTTCAACCTGCTGCCCACACTGCTTTGGATACAGCCCAGGATACCTTTGGCTTTCTGGGCTGTGACTGCACATTGTTGCATCATGTTGAGTGTCTCGACAACCAACACTCCCAAGTCCTTCTCCCCAGGGCTGCTCTCAACCCCTTCCATCTCCCACTGTTCTGAAACCAGTGGTTACCCCAGTCCAGGTGAAGGACCTTGCACCTGGAATCCTAGAACTTCCAAATTCCCATAGGGCTTTTCTGAGCTAAGACACCACCATGACACTCTGAAAGACAATGAACAAACACAGGTTATGCTCCACTGTTGCACTAGACTATATACAACATAGAAACCTGGAGGTGAAACAGCACAAATTTTAAAGTTCCACACCTGTAAAGTTCTGCTGACCATTATAACCCTGCCTACACAGTTTGCAATTGTTTAGACTGTGTTTTAGCCATACAGCAGCCCTCTAGAGTAATACAGCAACGTTCCTAGCCTCCACACAAGCATGTTTCATTGTCCAGGCCATACGAGATCATCCCAGACCACACCAGATCATCCAGGGTCATTTTACCAAGGAGACAAGATAGCATCATTAAAATGATTTAATTTTCTATGTGAAAAGTGTTGTCACTAATGCAACTATGGTCCAAATAAGAAGTCATTCCAGACTAAAGATTATTAACACAAAGCTGTTATTACATAAACCAGTGGCTTAGCAGTTGTACTCAAAACTCCTGTTCTAAATGCAACAGGTTTGATTCCCACCCTGT